CTGTGTGGTTCTCCCTCCCTCTCTCTCTCTCTCTCTCTCTCTCTCTCTCTCTGTGTGTGTGTGTGTGTGTGTGTATGTGTGTGCGAGTGTGTGTTTGTATCCCTTTGTCTATTTATATCCCTTTGTTCTTAATCTGTCAGCAAAACAATATCTTCCTGAGGCTTGGGTTTCCCAGCCTCTGAGAAGCTCAGATGTTGAAAATCAAAGGATTTGAGAGTGTGTGTTTGTATCCCTTTGTCTATTTATATCCCTTTGTTCTTAATCTGTCAGCAAAACAATATCTTCCTGAGGCTTGGGTTTCCCAGCCTCTGAGAAGCTCAGATGTTGAAAATCAAAGGATTTGATCAACTCTGACCCAGTGCAGTCCAGGCCCTGAAGAGACCAGAGCTTGAAAAACTCAAAGTATTTCAGCTCCCTTTGAACAATACCTACAACCAGTATACTCTCGATACAAAAGCACAGAAATGTCTAGTTGTTCATTAAAATACAGGATATATATTAATTGGTTGCCTCTTCAAAACTCAATTACTATGTACAAGGGCAAAGCCTTCTAAAATAAAAGACACCTTTTGTCTCTTTGCTGTGTGTGTGTGTTTAGTCATTTAGTCGTCTCCGACTCTTCGTGACCCCATGGACCAGAGCACGCCTCCCCTTCTATTTGCCAGGAGGTTATGGGACCAGTGGCCATTATCTTAGTTTTTTTGATGTTGAGTTTCAGGCCGTTTTTTTGCACTCTCCTCTTTCACCCTCATTACAAGGTGCTTTAATTCCTCCTCACTTTCTGCCATCAGAGTGGTATCATCTGCATATCAGAGGTTGTTGATATTTCTTCCAGCAATCTTAATTCCGGCTTGGGTTTCATCCAGTCCAGCCTTCCACATGATGTATTCTGCATATAAGTTAAATAAGCTGGGGGACAATATACAGCCTTGTCGTACTCCTTTCCCAATTTTGAACCAATCAGTTGTTCCATATCCATTTCTAACTGTTGCTTCCTGTCCCACATATAGGATTCTCAGGAGACAGATAAGGTGGTCAGGCACTCCCATTTCTTTAAGAACTTGCCATAGTTTGCTGTGGTCAACACAGTCAAAGGCTTTTGCATAGTCAACGAAGCAGAAGTAGATATTTTTCTGGAACTCTCTGGCTTTCTCCATAATCCAGCACAAGTTACCAATTTGGTCTCTAGTTCCTCTGCCTCTTCGGAATCCAGCTTGTACTTCTGGGAGTTCTCGGTCCACATACTGCTGAAGCCTACCTTGTAGGATTTTGAGCATAACCTTGCTAGCATGTGAAATGAGTGCAATTGTACAGTAGTTAGAGCATTCTTTGGCACTGCCTTTCTTTGGGATTGGGATGTAGACTGATCTTTTCCAATCCTCTGGCCACTGTTGGGTTTTCCAAACTTGCTGCCATATTGAATGTAGCACCTTAACAGCATCATCTTTCAAGATTTTAAATAGTCTCTTTGCTACTTCCTCATATTTCATCAGTTAGGCTTAGAACATCCATCTTTTTTCAATTTACACTAATTCTGTAAACTAGCACAGTGGAAACTAGCACAAAACTGAACAAGCTACTTATGCCTTGTTAACTTATTAGTAGATTTTGTACCAAAACAAGGGGTTGCCATGTAAACTATATAACCAGCTGCTATTTTTCTAAAAGCTTTCACTCCTCATGCACTATGGGGCTTGTCCATGGGGCTTCTACTACACACTTCTGAGGCCTAAAGGACCTTCCTGAGGCACTAAATGTGGTAGTTTTGCACCCATACTGACTCCCTGACCCACGATCCTTATCCCTTTAGGTAGAGGTCATCATACCAATGATAAGTAAGGCTATGGGTCTATATGAGGTTTTCCACAGTGAATGAATTAATATGATCTGATATGAACAAAGATAACTGCTCTGTTTACATTCTGTGTATTTCTATGCTTTCTCCCCAGTGTGAATTTTTAGATGGGACTGAAGGCTACTGGTATGACTGAAGCTCTTTCCGCATTCCATGCATTTATATGGTTTCTCCCCAGTGTGAGTTCTTTGATGTGAACTCAGGTGACTGCTCTGACTGAAGCTCTTCCCACGTTCCATGCATTTATACGGTTTCTCGCCAGTGTGAGTTCTTTGATGTGAACTCAGGTGACTGCTCTGACTGAAGCTCTTCCCACGTTCCATGCATTTATACGGTTTCTCGCCAGTGTGAGTTCTTTGATGTGAACTCAGGTGACTGCTCTGACTGAAGCTCTTCCCACGTTCCATGCATTTATACGGTTTCTCGCCAGTGTGAGTTCTTTGATGTGAACTCAGGTGACTGCTCTGACTGAAGCTCTTCCCACGTTCCATGCATTTATACGGTTTCTCGCCAGTGTGAGTTCTTTGATGTGAACTCAGGTGACTGCTCTGACTGAAGCTCTTCCCACGTTCCATGCATTTATACGGTTTCTCGCCAGTGTGAGTTCTTTGATGTGAACTCAGGTGACTGCTCTGACTGAAGCTCTTCCCACGTTCCATGCATTTATACGGTTTCTCGCCAGTGTGAGTTCTTTGATGTGAACTCAGGTGACTGCTCTGACTGAAGCTCTTCCCACGTTCCATGCATTTATACGGTTTCTCGCCAGTGTGAGTTCTTTGATGTGAACTCAGGTGACTGCTCTGACTGAAGCTCTTCCCACGTTCCATGCATTTATACGGTTTCTCGCCAGTGTGAGTTCTTTGATGTGAACTCAGGTGACTGCTCTGACTGAAGCTCTTCCCACGTTCCATGCATTTATACGGTTTCTCGCCAGTGTGAGTTCTTTGATGTGAACTCAGGTGACTGCTCTGACTGAAGCTCTTCCCACGTTCCATGCATTTATACGGTTTCTCGCCAGTGTGAGTTCTTTGATGTGAACTCAGGTGACTGCTCTGACTGAAGCTCTTCCCACGTTCCATGCATTTATACGGTTTCTCGCCAGTGTGAGTTCTTTGATGTGAACTCAGGTGACTGCTCTGACTGAAGCTCTTCCCACGTTCCATGCATTTATACGGTTTCTCGCCAGTGTGAGTTCTTTGATGTGAACTCAGGTGACTGCTCTGACTGAAGCTCTTCCCACGTTCCATGCATTTATACGGTTTCTCGCCAGTGTGAGTTCTTTGATGTGAACTCAGGTGACTGCTCTGACTGAAGCTCTTCCCACGTTCCATGCATTTATACGGTTTCTCGCCAGTGTGAGTTCTTTGATGTGAACTCAGGTGACTGCTCTGACTGAAGCTCTTCCCACGTTCCATGCATTTATACGGTTTCTCGCCAGTGTGAGTTCTTTGATGTGAACTCAGGTGACTGCTCTGACTGAAGCTCTTCCCACGTTCCATGCATTTATACGGTTTCTCGCCAGTGTGAGTTCTTTGATGTGAACTCAGGTGACTGCTCTGACTGAAGCTCTTCCCACGTTCCATGCATTTATACGGTTTCTCGCCAGTGTGAGTTCTTTGATGTGAACTCAGGGAACTGCTCAGACTGAAGCTTTTTTCACATTCTATGCATTTATATGGTTTCTTCCTGGTGTGATTTCTTTGATGGGAACTGAGACCCCTGCTGTCAGTGAAACTCTTTCCACATTCCATATATGGATACAGTTTCTCCTCTGTATGAGTTATTTGATGTCTACTGAGATGACATGCATTTTTTTGTTTCTCCTCTCCGTGAGTTCTTTCATGTGAGATCCATTCCTGCCCAGTTGCATTTTTAGTTGTCTTTCCCCCCTTGTTTATGTCTTTCTGCAGCGGATGCCCCAGGTGTTCCTGGGCTATTCTTCCTCTCCTGTTCATCATCTGGTAGATAAGAAAAAGAAGAGAAACAACTACTTGAGAAAGCTGCAGGGATAAGGAGAAATGCTTTCTGGCTCCGACTGAGTCATGGAGGAGGAAGGAAATACAGGCAAAAAAGGGAGGGAGGAGAACCAGGGTGGGCTTGAGGCTGGACCTGAGGTTTTTCCTTTGGCCTTGAGGTGGGAGAGGCACTTCACTGAGGAACTCTTTGGGGAAGGGAGCCATTAAGGAAGGAACATTTCCACACCCAAAAAAGTACCTCAAATGCAAAGTATTTTAACTATATTTTCTTCTCAATTTTCTTTTGGTAAAGGCAGATTTGCAGCCCTCCGTTAATTATTCACTTAGAATTCTATTCTCAAAAGTCTATTTTGATGTGATGTCGTTATCCCACTAAAATGCCTTTTAATGATAATTGTAGGTCACGTAGCAATTATACAAAGGGTTCACGACTACAATGAGGAATAAATGTTACTAAAATTAAAAAATTTTAAAAAGCAAAATTTTGAAAAGTTGAAATTAGAAATGAAAAATAACTTAAATGATTAGACCAGCGTTCCTGCCATTGGGGGAGTTGCCTGTGATAGCTGCCATCCCCACGCATGGGGTGAGTGACCGTGTCTGGGAGTATTTCTGGCCTGCACTCCCTCGGCCTTCAGGACTGGGACCCTGATGCTGCTGCTGCTTCGGGCTACCCCACCCCTTCTGCAACACCAGCCACCTGGCTGGGAGGGGAGGGAGGCTCTAAAAGCCAGAAGCCATGTTGGATCTCCAGGGGATGGGACCTTCGCTAGAGCTGGCTCGCTCACTCCCCCTCTTTTGGAACACCTGCAGCAGCGCTCAACCCCTGCATACGGGATGGGTAGGGCCAGTGACTGAAACAACTTGGCTCACCTTCATGCTCAGAACTGAGAACTCTGAGTTAACGTCCACGAATAACATTCTCAATCCACCTCTAATATCAGTTTTTATAACATGCAAAATAACATCAAAAGTGACATTATTGAATGAACAAAGATGTGTGGAGGAGAAGAGAGGACCAGGATTATATGGGGGGCTTTAGCACATGATCTGTTAAAAAAGTATTTTAATTGTATACACATGGTGGCTATAATTTGGGATTTTTATTGTTTTTGTATTTCTTCTATTTTATAGTATATATTTGTTTTTATTAATTTAGGGATTGGGTGTTTTTTTTTCTCTCTCTCTTTTTCTTTTCCTTTATTGGACATGGAGTGGAAAACCTTTTCGCCCAGCGAGGGGCCTTTTATCATCCCTGTGATCACAGGTAGAGGGAGATATGGTGTTGGCGCAGTCCCTACTCGTGTTAGAACAATGAACAGATGCTTAAAAGATGTTCATTGTTCTGAGACTGTGACCACCCCTCAGTACCGATGTATCCAGCCCAGCCAACCTTCCACTCTATCCCTGCTGTTGTTGAATGCCAGGTCTGTGTCCAATAAGGCCCAGGT